GTGGGGTTGCTATGGGTCGGAACAGACTCGATGGCTGTGGGAAATGGAGAACCAGGAAGTGTGTGTGTGTGTGTGTGTGTGTGTGTGTGTGTGTGTACAAATTCTCCACGCTCGTCTTGTAAGGAGTCTGGGCGGCTGAGGCTCTTGGGGAGGGAGGCCTTCACCTTCGTGGGTTGGAGATGCATCCCAGTCACGTTTACCTAAGTAAAAGTTCTTGCCCACAATGTCCCCCATAGTAACGACAATGTAAAGGGCTGCTCGCAAGCACGTGGTTGCTACTGTACCCTTGAAGGGTAGTTACCTGAAGGCCATCAAGAGCAATCAGACCACCCCACCTTAAGTACGGCCCACGCCCTTCTGATAAGGATCATAGATTGTTACCCTGGAGAAGAGCTCAGGGACACTTAAAGTCAAGCCAGCTTAGAGATGACCAAGGCTAAGGTGCCATCCCAGCTCTACGACCGCCCATCTTGTTACCTTTGTACCTTCCTGTCACTTGTATACCCCTATCTCATCCCCTTCCTGTTACGTGTATGAGTATGATGTGGCCTGCATGCCCCGACATGATAGAAGCCTGTGAGAGAATACATTCGCCCAGTCTCTCTCTCTCTGGTTCCAGTCTCCATGGAAGAGGTGAGCCCTTGCATGCCTTGTCCGATGTTTAATTTACACTTCAATTACACAACCACCCTTAGGGACCCCTTTGGTTGTAGGGGCTGGTCACCCACATATGGCCTGTGGTCTTCATTCGTCTGCTTCCTTCCTGTCCGTCAGCCCCTGCAGCTGTAGGAGTCAGGAGAAGCCTCCAACTGACAGCTGACCCATGGACTTGAGCTGGACTAGACTTACCAACTCCTACACCTGTGTGAGCCATCTCTTGATATACACCTCTCTCTGTCGACAGCGTACAAACAACATGGGTTCTGCGTCTCTGGCGAACCCAGCCTAACACACTATGAGTCAGAATGGACCCGGTGCTCATCTGAAGTAGCGCAGTGGTTAAGCATCGGGATGCCACCAAGACGTTGGCAAGTCGAATCCCTTGGCTGCTCCTTGGGAGAAAGATGAGGCTGTCTACGCTTGTGAAGACTGACTGTCTTGAAAATCCTTGGGGTTAATTAAACTCAGGGGAGCCCTGGTGGCTCAGTGGTTACGGGTTGGGCTGCTAACCACAAGGTCAGCAGTTTGGAACCACCAGCTGCTCTGTGGGAGAAAGAGGAGGCTTTCTACTCCTGTTGCAGTCCCAGGAACTCATGGGGCATTCTACCCCGTCCGATAGGGTCTCTACCAGTCAACATTGGCCCGGGGGCAGTGAGCTAAGTTCAGCAGTGGTTGGACTCAGTCCTGTGTGGTGGCGATGGGTAGGAACCCGCTTGATGGCAATCGGTTTAGTTTCGGTCCCTAAACATCCCACAGACATAACCTGTCCATCTGGCCTCCTGTGTCCTTAGGGACGACGGCATCGGACCAGGCAGTGTTTTTGTTCTGTTGTGCTCGGGTAGCTATGGGTCAGAACCGGCTGGAAGGCATCAAACAATGACAGCAGCTATGTGAGCTCACACAGAATGGCCCCGCTTTGCTCAGCACGATGTTTCTAAGGCCCTTCACGGTGCGGGCCTCTTCACAGGTGCACGGACGGCACTCTGTCGCACGGATGGACGTGATCTTGAAGTGCCTCGACGGACCCCTGGGCTGTTTCCACCTTCCGGCACCTGGGTGCAGTGCAGTGCTGTTGGGAACCCTGGTGGACAGGTATCTGATGCCTTTCCTGCCTTCCTTCTGGGGCTACACCACGATAGGGAAGTGCTCCAAGCTGTCAGGGATTCACTCTTCTTGGGATCCGTAAACGGCGCTCAGGGGAGCGGCGGACAAGATTTCAAATGATGTAGATCTGTTGCTCGAGACCCCTCTGAAGTGCTGAAGGGCAGGATGTCACCTGGAGGGCTCAGGGGCGCCTGATGGAAGGCCAGGTAGTTTCAGATTCAAGCTGGGCCCGGCTTGAATCAGGAGGAAGACCGAGGAGTCCGTGCATTTGAATGATGGCGCCGGCGAGGGCTATTGGAGGTCCCATGGGCGGCCCAAAGACCCAACAAGGCTGTCTTGGACGGAGCGTGGCCGGATGCTCCTTAGAGGCAAGGGTGGCGAGGCTTCGTCTCACGTACTTTAGACCTGCTCTCAGGAGGGACTGGTCCCTGGAGAAGGGCCGTGCTTGGTAAAGTCGAGGAAGAGTGGGAAGGCCCTCCCTCAGTGAGATGGATTGACGCGGAGGCTGCCACCGTGGGCTTGAACCTGAGAAGTGTGAGGGCGGTGTGGGTCTAGGCAGTGTGTCACTCTATCACACATAAGGTCGCTGTGGGTCGGGACCGACTCACCAGCACCTTGCAACAATGGGTTAACCGTTTTGAGCGGTGGCCCGATGATCTTGTGCAGCACTTCCTTTCCAACCCCAAACAGCAACGGGGCCGGGGTGGGGTGGGGCGCAGGGCAGGCTGACAACAGGGCTGGATTCTGGCGGTTGGTGTGAGCCCAAAGCCAGGTGGCTCCACTGGGCTCCCTCGCCGGGGAGCGGGGGAGGGGGGGAGCTGTCTGGAATCACCCCAGCCTTGACAAGAGAAGGAGGGGTGGGGGTTGCCCTCACCACTGAGCCACTGGGTCAGCGAAGGAGTGAGATCATTGCCTTCCTGGACAGGGAACTCGCCACGGGAGAAGCACTGAGCCCCGGCTCAGCCCCCGACCATTACTCAGCAGCTAAGGCTGGAGGCCCGGCAGGCTGGAGACGTTAGAAGCAGTTTGCGCAAGGCGGCGGGCAGCTTAGGCAAGGCTGGGAGCCGCAGGGCAGGCGTGGGAACACCGGGTCATGGGCCAGAGCTGCTGTTCCAACGGAGTGAACCCAGCCTGGGTCTCCCTGGATGAGTCCACTGCTGCTGCCAAGCGGCTAAGAGCTTGCGGGAAAGCATCCAGATCCCTACCGAGCAGCACCTCTGTGTAGCGCTCCCCGGAGTCACTGGGCCACATTGACACACAGGCAGCCGTGGCATGCACGCGCGACAATGCATTCCTGTCAACTGCACTTCTCATGCGTACTCTGCAACCACAGCAGGGCATGCTGCTGCTGCCCCACGTGACCACGGACCCTCCCAGGCGCCTGGAAAACAGGCCAACCCTCCCCTCGGGAAAGAAGAAAAATCCATGGGGTGCATTTCTCCGGTGTGCTCTGACTCAAGTAATGTACAGCAGAGCCAACCAGGAGCCACGTTCGGTGGTCGGGGGATAAGAGAACTCCTTGGGTAGGAGGTACGAGGGTCAGTCACAGTTACAGTCTCCTAAACCCAAAGCGGCCACTCTACCCTGTCTTAAAGTGGCCTGTCTTACAGGGTCAGAATCCACTCCATGGGGGTGAGCGAGCGCGGGAGCGGTCCCTCCATCCGGGCCTGCACACTTCCGAAGGGTGGTGTTCCCCTCTCTCTAAGGCCTCCCTGAAGAAGGCTGCCCTCTTCGACGGACACCACATCCGAGTGGCAGCTGGGCACCCTCCAGGGGCTCCGATGGGGCTCCTTGAGTTCGGGAATCAACCACCCGAACAGGAACAAAAACACAGAGAGGCAAGATCAGGGCTGCTGGGTGGATGGGTCCAGTGCCCCAGGGAAATGCTCCCCTGACAGCATTGTTGTGATGGGGAAAAAGTCACCGGGGCAACTGTGCTGGCCTTAAGTTTCCCGTTTTCTCAAAAGTCTCCGTAAGAGGCCCTGGGAGTGTCCGCTGTTCTCCAAGAAAACTCAGTGGAGATGGCTCCTTCCCCAAACCAGCTGCCACTGTCGTCTGAAGTGGCTGATCTTGAATTGGGCTGGCCCAGCAAATCCCTTGAGAAGTCAAGATTGTTTTTTTCTAGATTTTTTTTTTGGGGGGGGCGGGCGGGGGAAGGCACTCCCGTGAGCCAAAGGCAAGTGTATTCCTGAAGGCTCTTCTGCAGCCACCCACTGATGGCGGAAACGCGGTGAAACACGGTTTGTTTGGAACGGGCCTGTGCACGCGTGTCTCAACTGGAAGCTTAGCAGCAAGGCTTTTGGACTCTTGCTCTCTCTCTCTCTCTCTCTCTCTCTTGCACGCGCATATGTGTGTGTGTGCATGTAAGATTCATCTCAGGGCAGATCTATGAGGTACATGATCTCTAATAGCCCTGACGGGCAGGCTCTCGGCTGGAATTCTCAGCTTGGCGGAAGGGTCTCCTTTTTCACCAGGAAACTCTTAGCTCTGTTTCTTCAGATCTTTCCACCGACCCAGTGAGTGAGCCCCCCCTCTGCCCCCCCCAGATGACCTAGAGAAACCTTCTTTCCTTAAAGTCAGGGGGAACGGATGGAGTCACAACACCTCACAACCTCCAGGGCGGCAATTAAGTAGTGTCGTGGGCTGGGTTCTCTACGGGAGCAAGACCAGCGAGGCTTATCTATAGGGACAGGTTTCTATCAAGGAAATGACTGGCTAGTCCCGTGCCTGTGGGCCAGACATCACGCCGGAGGCTTCTCTTGACTCCCAGAGCCGCAGGGGCTGACAGACTCAAGGTTGGCAGTGCAGATGGCAGGCTGCTTGCTCACAGGCTGCGGAAGATGATGAATCGCAAGATTGGCCGGTAAGTCGTCAGGCTGCTGGCTCATGTCCCAAGAACCAGCGGGTCAGATACAACAATTCGATAAGATCCACAGGGAGCGGAAGAACCCGGTGAGCCTCACCAGGATGTCTCTCTCTATTGGATGCAGGTCTTAAAACTGACCGGCTGATCACATCGGAGCACACCAGGAGGTGATTCCATTAGATCCCAACTCGACCACATCATTATACAGCTGCCCAGGCCCTGAGAATTGTGGCCCATCCACGCAGACATGTAACCTGAGCCGGCACGGCTAGTGCTCGGATGAGAGGGTCAACATCCTTGCTAGGATGCACGGAGATGAGGTCCCACCAGCCCGCACCCTCCGACAGCACGCAGGGACTGGACCAGCCTGGACATGCGTGCCTTTTTAATGGTGGTGAAGAGCAGATGATGCCCAACTAGCAGTCTCCAAGTGTGCCATTCAGTGGCATTTGGTTCATTCACAATGCCGTGCAACCCCCATCTCAATCTACCTCCAAAAGTATGCCCGTCACCCCCAAATAAGCCCCGCACCCAATTCAACCCATCACACAGCGGTTCCCAGCCCCAGCCTGCCTTCTGTATTCAACTGGACAGCAGTGGCTTCTGGGAAAACTCGGATCCTTCAAGCTCTGCTCACTTGGTGCCCGAGGTGGGAGCTCGGAAGCCGGAGGGCAGCGATTCCCGCACGATGTTGGGGCTGTATTCCGGCTTCACTGCCTCGGCCAGTTCCCGCACGTACATCTCATATCTGCCCGTCATCTGAAAGCGAAACACAAGCCACGCTTGAGAGGATCCTGGTGGCACAGTGGGTTCCAGGCCAGGCTGCTCACCGCACATTTGGGGGCTCCAACCCAGCAGCGCCTCCCTGGGAGGAGTGGGAGGCCGTCGGCTGCTATAAAGATGGATGGTCTGGGACACCCTCAACTCACTGCCATCGAGTCAATTCTGATTCACAGGACAGGGTACAAACTGCCCCTGCGGGTTGCCGGGACGGGAGCTCTTTACAGGAGTAGGAAGCCTCGCCTGTCTCCCTCGGAGCAGCTGGTGGTTTCGAACCACTGAACTTGCAGTTAGCAGACCGACGCATACCCACAACGCCACCAGGGTTCCTGTGGGACACACTCAGGGGTAGTTCTGTTCTGTTCATTAGGATGACTGGGTTGGAATCCACTGGACGCTAGGGGGTTCGTTTACTTGTTGGGTGGGTGGCTAACTGCATGGTCAGTGGTTCAAACCCACCAGCTGCTCCGAGGGAGAGAGAGGAGCCTGTCTGCTCCTGTAAAGACTTAGGATTTGGAAACCCTACCTACCTCTTTAGTTAATATCTCGATCAGCTGTAGGTTTGGGATGAAAAGAAATGAGAGTCCCTGGGTGGACAGAGTGTTTACCACTCGGCTAGAAGTCCAAATCCACCCGGAGGCACCTTGGAAGAAAGGCCTGGATAAGACCGGCCACGGGAAACCCAAGGAGTCCAGCCCAGGTGGGACTCAGAGCCGGGTCCTCCTTGAAGCCTCTGGTCTGGTTGAAAACCCGCCGGTGCACTACCACCTTCAGCCACTGGAGGGCAGGCGTGGGGCAGAAATGGACCACGAGGCCAGTGAACTTTTTTTTTTCTTTTCCAGTCCTCTTTATTCAGGGTCCAACATTTATGTATTTATTTATTCTAATCACTGAGGCCCGTGAACTTAATTGCAGGGATCCTCACCAGCCCCACGGCCCTGATGTCACCTCTCAGAGCTGTGACCAAGATGATCCACCCACCCGTGACACTAGACCAGCAGGAGACCTCTGGTCCCCTCCCACCAGGAAGGCTCGGCCTCTGTCCACAGACCCCACCCAGAGAGGCCAGTGACCGGGTCACAGGCTGGCAGAGCGGGGAGTTGAACCCAGGACTCCTGGATCTGGGAGGGGGGCAGAGGGCGGGGCTTGTGGGGTGGAGAACCCACCCAGAGAGTTCACCCCATGCTCTCCGGACTCACGCTGGGTGGTCATCGTAGCCTGGGAAAGCTTCTGTTTTTTGTTTTTTTTTAAATACAAAGTGTCCACTCTCTGTTCCTTGCTGATGGTGATCTTAAAAACAAACCAAAAGCCATCCAAAACCAGAACCAGTCGATCGTGAGCCTCGGGGGCTTCTGGAAGCAGGCTGCCGCGACTTTACTCTGAGGCACCCGGGTGGGAGCGAGCCCCCCACCTTTCCGTGAGCAGCTGAGGGTGTCCTGCCAGTGTCCCCTGGGCCTGTAGACTGCAGGGACAGGGCTCGTTCAGAGGACTGTGCTCTGGGACTCTCCTGGGTGGTGCAGTTTGTTGGCGAGCAGATGCAGAACATTCCCGGACTATCTTTAACAAAGAAAAATGCAGTCGCTGCCGCGGTGAGGCTGCTCATTCCATGGCACACGTGCCCCCGGACTTTGCACCATCTCTCTCTTCCCTCCGTGGTTAGGTCTGTTTGCCAGGGGCCCTGTCCTACGGGTCGCTGGGAGTTGGCATCGACACATGGCCGCGAGCTTGGCTTTGGGGTTTTGTTTCCTTTTTGTTAGTGGTTAGGGGAGGGAGCCCTGGGGTTGCCATGTTGGGCGGCTAACCAAAGGGTCAGCAGTTTGAAACCACCGGCCGCTCCTCGGGAGCACGCTGGGGCTTTCTACTCCTGTAAAGAGTGACACTCTCTGAAGCCTACAGGGGCAGTTCCACCCCGTCCTCTAGGGTCGCTGAGAGTCGGCACAAGCTCCATGACATTATTATTCTTATTCTTATTTTTATTTTTAGACCTGCAGTCGTTGGCCACTTTGGGTCATCCTCATCTTACCTGTCCCTGCTCTCCTCCCCATTTCTTTTCTGCTGGTAGGCTTTTTTCTTTCCTTGCCCCCTGCTCTTTTTCTAGCCGTTGAGGAGGCTGGGTGACAGCGTGGATTGGGGTTCCGTCTCTTTGGGGCCCAAGGATGGAGCTCAGAAGGCAGGAAAGGGGGAGGCACGCTCCACAGCGCGGGACAGGACATGCGCGGATGGGAGATGGATGGGCTCTGCCAGCCTTCATCCCATTCAGCCAATGGTCCACCCACGCGAAGCCGGGGTCAGCTTTCTCAGGGTGGACACACGCTTGATGAAACCGAGCGGCCCTGGGAGGAGAGACACTGTCGGGGTGTGGGGGGGATACGTAGCGCCTCTGAGATTCAGGACCAAGCTCAGGCTGCTGGGAGCTGGACTCGGGGCCCAGGCCCATGGATGATCTAGGACACTCAATCCTCCAGGCCGGCCAGGCCAGCACCAAGGGCCCCTGGGATCCTGCTTTCAGGGCCCACCTCGAGGTGATCGTACACAGCAAGGCGGCAGGCTACAACACTGCCAGGCCTGTGATCTCACCATGGCAGGTCGAACCATCATGATCTCCCGGCCTTTCTTCCTTGTCTGTCTGTCTGTCTGGAAGCTTCTCTAAAGCCTGTTTTGTGAGCCCCATGAACTGGTGGGTGGGGGTAGCAGGGGGAACCAACCAACAAGAGGCCTTTCCAGGGGACCCAGGCATGGTGACGGCTGGCCCATTCCCAGAGGTGTACACCTGCCCCCTGGCCATGGCTCCTGGCATCACAGGGTCACCTCGGGGACTGTGAGTGCAGGCCTCTCAATGGACATGGGAGCTGGAGGGGTGGGCGGTGTTGGCAGGGCTGGGGTGAGGGCCCACTTCTCTGCATGGCCTTGACCTACTTGGCCCTCGGGGCTTGGCTGCAGGCAGAGCCAGAAGCACCAGGTCATCCTGCACTCTGAGCCGGAGGGAAGTGGGATTGGTGCGGCCAGGCCAGCCCACCTGCCACCTGATGACCAATGGGGAGACCCATCTGTCTGCAGGCACCAGACTTGCAAGAGGGAAGCTTCTGAAACCTTGCACAAGGAGTCCGGGCAGTGTAGTGGTTACGAGTTCAGCTACTAACCTTGAGGTCAGCAGTTTGAACCCGCCAGCAGCTCCTCCGGAGAAAGAGGAGGCTCTCTACTCCCGTAAAGAGTTACGGTCTTGGAAACCCACAGGGGCAGTTCTAGCCTGTCCTATAGGGTCGCCGTGAGTCCTGACTCTGGGTCAGCACCCACTCAGTGGCAGTGGGTTCCAGTATGGGTGCTTCATTGAGGGCTCCCTGGTGGCACTGTGGGTTCGGCCCACTAACCCCTCCAAGGGAGAAAGAGGGGGCTTCCTGCTCCCTGAAGGATCTCAAACACCCCACACAGAGGCTCCATGAATCAGAAACAACTCAATGGTCATGGGTTCGGTTTGGAGCTCATGAACATAAGGAAGAAAACCCTAGTTACACTTGGCAGGGGTGGGGTGGGGCACTGGGAAACGACACAGTTCAGTCTGTAACAGCCCCCCTGGGGTCCTCCTGGTGGCGCTGTGGGCTAGAGGCTGGGCTGGTATTTGCAAGTTCAGCGGTTCAAACCCGAGGGAACCCCTCCAAGGGAGAAAGACGAAGTCATCTATTTTCATAAAGGGGTACCGTCCCAGGGGGCAGCGCTGCCCTGTCCTGCAGGGGGGCTGTGAGTTGGCCGACCTGTCAGCGGTGGGCCCTGGTCGGACATGACCAGGAAAGACAGGGAGGCTGGCACCAGGGTGGGGCCAGAGTGGGAGACCCAGCACTGGGGTGCCCGGAGGGACCCACCTTGTAGTTCCAGATGTCATTCACCTGCCGGCACAGGTTGAGGTCCAGCTCGGCCACCAGCAGCCCGTCGCGGTGACGAGAGAGCCCGGGCGTGCGGCTGCTGTCTGGTGCCGCCACGTAGCTGGAGCCATAAAAGTAGCCAAAGTTCTGGTGGGCTTCAGGGCAGAGAGGGGTGTCATGAGCACATGGGCACCAATGCTTAGCCTGTCTACCCTCCTCCTCCCTGAGCCCCTCAGGGACCTCCCCCCTGGAAAGGGACCTGTCCTTCACCCTTCACTTCCCCACCCACAGACTCTGGGGCCCGCCCAGGGGAGCTGAGACTGTGCTCCACTTGCCAGGTGCGACTCCCAGCGCCACACGGGCTAACGTGGGTCCAGCCCTCAGTTCTGCCCCCCTAGGGCTGCAGGGGGAACTGGTGCCTTGTCAGGAAGTACTCAGCCCCTCCCAGGCTTCCACCTCGACAACCCTCTACCTGGCTCAGACACCTGCCCCCCACCGTCCCAGCAGACACCAGGGGCATGGCTAACAGAGGCCTTGAGATTGGAGCCCAGGGACCCTGCTAAGGCTCTGAGCACCCGCACTGCTGAGTGGGGGCCCAGGACTCACCGAGGGCCTCCCACCCCCCCTCGCATCCGCCCTGGGGCCAGCGCGGCATTCAAATGCCAGATGGGCACTGAGTGGTCAAGTGCCCACCCTCCCAGGCTCCCACCAGTCACGGCTGCCTCCTCTGTGCCAGGTGGGCAGGGCCCTGGCCTCCCCAAACGCAGATGGGAAACAGCTGCCCCCACCACGGAGCGCAGGACATGTACCTTTCTTCCCGTCTCCAGAGGTGAACTCATTGGGAAAGTGCTCCTGGAACAGGAGGTCAGAGTCACACAGGGTCTTCTTTTGTGCGTGTGCGTGTGCGTGTGCGAGCATGTGTGTGTGTGTGAGTGTGCACTCAGCTGCCAACTCGAAGCGCGCCTCGCCAGAAAGGCCTGGCATCCCCTTCCGAGAGGTCCACCACGGCAGACCCCAGGGGGTGCTCAGGGCTTGTCTGACACGGGAGGAGGATGGGAACCCACGCCGCAGCAGCCGGCGGACTGGTGCACAGTGCGTGGCTTCCTTCTGGTCTGCCATCTCTGGAAAGGGCCCCTGGGCGGCACCAACAGGCTCAAGCCCACCCCCCACCTCAGACGTGAGCCTGGCAACCTGCGTCCGGGATCGAGAGAACCCTAGAGGGCACGGCTCTGCTCTGCTGCCACGGGTGCCGTGAGCTGGGCCGGCCTGGACTGCAGGGAAAGGGGACGGGTTTTATTTCTCTGGAGCCCCGGGGCTGAAGGGGGCTCTGCTGGGGGGAAAGACACAAGGCTTTGTGGGCGCAGGGGGTCTGTGCTGGCCTGGTGGTTCAAACCACCAGCTGCTCCGAGGGAGGAAGAAGAGGCTGTCTGCTCCCGTCATGATGCACTGCCTTGGGGACCCTCAGGGGTGGGCCTGCTCTGCCCTCAGGGTAGCTGTGAGTCAGAACCCACGTGCCCCGATGGAGCCCTGTTTAAGCGCTCAGCTGCTGGCTCCGAGGCCAGTGGTTCAAACCCACCAGCCACTCCCTGGGAGAAAGACGAGGCCCATAAACATGTAGCCTCAGGCACCCTAGGGGCAGCTCTGCTCTGTCCTACACACGTCAGGTGAGTGGGGTGGACCCCACAGCAGTGGGTATTCGGCCAGGTAAGGTGAGGCTCACGGTCTCAGGAATTGCCCAGGAGCAGCTCTGCTGAGTCCTGGGTACTGAGTCTCTCAGGAGGAATTTCATGCCGAGCCCCTGCTTTCAGGGCCCACCTCGAGGTGATCGTAC